GGGGGTTTCAGAAAGCACTGGGGGGGTGTGTCACAGTTGTTAACCAGACCCTCTTCCTGAACGGGGAACATTTCCCTCTTGCCAGTGAAAAGGGGAAGAGTCACCATTGTGTTGACTCTGTGGCCCCCTGAAATATAAAATGTCAGAGCCGTACCCATCCACAAAGAGACGGAAAATTAATGGCAGAGCTGCTGCGATACTGTATCTCTGCAGGTCCCCCCAGCACGAGGGGGCTTTTGCCGGTCTGGAGGATGGAAACAAGCGTTCTCTGGTTGGGGGTGGATACTGCTGGTGCTCCTCAGATCCACAGCAGGGTTTATAGTCCTGTTTCCTTCTGTGTCCTGGGCATTTTCCTAATGAAAACACTGCTTTGGAGAAAAGGATGCCACGGATGGAGTGGGAGGGAAAAGAGGAGACATTCTGCGTTGGTGTCCTATAAAAGTGCCTTTAATTTAGAGCATCCATTTCATTTAGCGAGGGGATGCTGCTAAATTGCCTGAGCTGCGCAAACAGGGTCGGGTGTCTGTGGATGCACTGGTGGAAACGCCCGGTCAGGTCGCAGAGTAGCGCTTATTTTACCAAAACGGGGAAAAACTGCGAGAGGTTCGTGGGGCTGATTTCAGCCACGTGGGGACTGGTCTGATGGTGGGAGTGTAAAACTCCCTGTGCTCAGAGACTTGCTGAAATTGCCATTGTTAGTTAACTCTGCGATCGTACATCTGGTACTTTTTTCCAAATCAAAGCCACAAGTGCATAGATAAATATATACATTAAAGCAGGTAGGATAGAAATTTTGTATTTTATGAGGCAGGTGAGGATAGAGGCTGGCTGTGTTGAAACCACACGTCTCTGTCACAGCCCTGTCCCAAAGCACCGGTTCTTGGGTGCTTGTGATTACAGAACATTCTGGTTTAATTGTACAGAAAAGAAATGAATGTTTCCTTGGAAAGATCAGAAGCAGACCTGAGAAATTCCCCAGCTTTTACCAGTTCACATTTAGAAGAGAACACGTGATTTCTAAAACAACCCCGTTTTGGCAGGATGAGTCATGATTTTTGAGCTCGTAAGCTGGGCAGTAATGCTGTCCTCAGCAGACCATTTAAACTGCTTTTGTAATAGGCTCAGGGCTGCAGATTTGGAGAGGCATAAACAGATACTTCAACTTCTTTGTCTGTTTGAGAAGATCCCTGGGAATGTCCATAATCCCTCCCCATCCTGCTCAGCGCAAGGGCTCTCTGCATGAGTGGGTGTGAGGTGCCCACGGAGGTGTCCCAAGGCTCCACGCTGCAGGTGATGGGGAGCTGGGTCGTATGTGCTAGCCTCTAATGTGAAGAAGAGAAGCATGTCATCTCATTATGGCCTGTATCTTGATGCAGATGCACAAGGGAGCAGAGTTAACTTTACCATTTCCCGACTTCGGAGCGCCGGAGAGAGGCTGCCTCTGTAGTGAGCCCCTCTCATCGTGTCTTTTGCCGTGTCGCGCTGTTTCTCAGTAGCTGTTGGAAGGTGGGTGCCTGTTGCTGTACCTCCCTGCGTACGTCTCCTGGAGCCACAGGCTGCGCCGCGCTGGTCCGGTGGTCCTGGCTCCCCTCGGCTGGGGAGCGAAGTGGGGTGGGCTCGCCCCTCCGGCATCCAGCTGCATCGAGCGCTCGGCGTGATTCATTACCTGGTTTTGTTCTCCTCACTCTTGACATTTTTTTAGCAGATGTCACCAGTCTTTAACCCAGTGGGGAGCTTGCTGGGTAGCAACAGGGGCAAACCAAATCAGACAGTCTTTATTGGTTTATATAGCTGAAGGTGTCATTTTTTTTCCCTGTTGTAATATGGACTTGGAGCAGATGTGCCTTCGTGGGGGATCGGTTGCTTTCACTTGTGGTTAAAGGACATGCTACTGGAGACTGACACAAGCAGCAGGCTGTTCCGTAACAAGGCAGAGAGATACAGTCAGCTGCCGCAGGCTCCAGCAGCCCAGGCTGATGGGCAGCAGTCTTGCTGCTTTGCCTGCAGATTGCCTCCTTTGAGTTCCGTGGCTGCTCGTTTGCATGGCCCTGCAGCTCGGGAAAAAGCTGTGGAGGTGCAGGTGGGTGGCAGGGATGTGCAGAATGATCTTGCTGAACCACCTGGTGGTGAACGGGGAGTGTTTGAGGGAAGCCAAGGTGGGCAGCGAGACCCCGAGTCGGAGTGGGTGGGCTGAGTGCTCCGTCCAGTGTTTAGAGCTGGCGGCAGTGCAGGGACGGGTTTCACGGCACTGCTTGCAGCTGGTCGGGTGGCTGGTGGTGGTCCCGTAAGGCACACCTGACAGGGTCTGCATTTTGGGAAGTGATGAGCATCCCCTGTCCGGAAGCTAAAACTTTCTGAAGTGGGATTAAATAGTCCTTGGAGAGCAGTGAGAGGAGGGTGAAAGGGAGCTGCATCCCTAGGCAGGTGCCCAGGAGTCCGGGGCAGAGATGGTGTGCAGGGCACATTTTGGGGAAGAGGAAGGTGGCTGGGCTGTGAGTGTTCTGGAGGAGGATCTGAGGATCCCGTGAAGGAATGGGCAAGGAAGGGTCAAAGCACAGCAAGGCAGAGCCCACCGTCTCCTTCTCACTGCACTCCTCTCTCCCTTAGCCTTGGTTTCCATCCCATGCACTGCAGAGCTCTGTAGGTACGGGGGGGCCAGCAGAAGGGCGTAAGCCCGACAGAGTGATGCTCCGGGCGTGTTCATGCCATCCCAGCTGAGGGGGATCCTGAAGCGGGCACACGTTCCAGGGGCACGGGACACGGCTCTCGCCTGAGATCTCCTTGTCGGCTGGTGCTGTCTTTGCAGGAGAGCAGCATCCCTCTGTCAAAGCAAGGCAAAGCCCAGGACTCCTGCTTCCACAACAACCCCATGCCCTGTAAGAGGCACGCTGTGTCTGCTGCTCCTTTCTAAGCGTGTTTACCTCCCTGGAGTGAGGGGAGCGCGTGGGGAGCGATGCCAGCTGCCGTAGGGACAAGCTCGGTGGAGGAGCACCATTGCACCTCGTGCAGAGGCCTCTGCTTGCCAGGCCATGGAGGGCTTGAGCTGCTCGGTCTGGGCACATCCCGTCTGCGCATCAGTTTTGCCTTTGGTGCTCTGCTCCAGCCGATGGTCACCGTCAGGGCTGGCCTGGGGGCTGCGGGGGGAGGCTGGGTTCCCATACCCTCACAGAGAGATGTGACCGCTCCTGGTGGATTTATGAACAGGGGTTGGAAGAATCTCTGTTTTCATGGCTCTTCCTTGCTTTACGCAAAACACAAACCGTTTCCCTACGTGGGAATGATGACCGTTGCATCAAATGCTGCATATTGTGTTGGGGAGCTGCATACCTAATTGTGTGTCTTCTGCCAACCACCTGATTCTACACCCCTAGACGTTTACATGCTTTTAGCAGCTTAGCCCAGTCCAAGACCTGAAGCATGACTGATGCAGAAGTGTGGCTGTGCCATCACTTCTGCCAGAGAAACATGCGGAAATCTCTGATACTGGCAGGGAGTAGGGGCGTGTACTTGGGGATGTGTGTGAACAGGAGCGGCAGCCAAGCCAGGCTGAAACCTGTTTGCCTACAGTCGTTGCTCTGTAAGTCCAAGACGGCTGTTGTGTCACCGAAAGTACGTCTGTGCTGCTAAACTACAGACCGCTGGTGCGCAGGCACAAACTTCGGCTGTCCCGTCCTGCTGCGGTTAGCACCGCCCTGGCGTGGTTTTGGTGCCTGCAAGCTGATGCTAAAGCAGGGGTTGGCAGAGGGTGGGCATGTCCCCACCGCTCAGCTCGGGGGCAGCCGTGATGGCACGGAGGATAAGAGCGTTTCCTCGCAGGGACGCAGGCTGTGCTAGAGCCGTCGGCCGGTTTTCTTCCTTCGCGTGGGTGCAGCCGATGAGAGCAGAAGGCTACAGGCAGCAAATGTCGCCCGGCCCTGGCCCCTGCCAGGAGATGCCGTCGGAACTGAATTGAGCAGGACACCCTCAATAAAGCACCGCGCAGGATGCGAGTGTCTGCTACCCACCCACCCTTTCTTGCTGCAGAAGAGGTCTGGCACATCTAAATACCTGCCCCAAACAGCTGCACAGACCATATTTCAAATTCGCTGGTATAGAGTCTTCTCAGCGGTGGAGGCATTTGGGGAATTGAAAGCAGCATAGCAGGAATCCTTCACTCGTATCAGTTGTTTTGTTTCCATTCTCACCAACCGTAACTCTGTGTTGCCGTCAGCACCTGGTGTGGTGATGTAGGTGCTTGTGCTTTGCTTTCCCAGCTGAACTCTTTGAAGAATGCCTTTCCTTTAAACGTAAACTTGGCCTATATAAAGGTGTATGGGTCACAGCCTTCTGTGTGGGAGGTTAAGCCTCCAAGAGGGGGAGGGATGCTGATGGGAATGAGAAACTGGGGGTGGGTGCAATCCAATGTCTTATAAAACCGTCCGACGTTACAATCGCCACGCTTTCACGCAGGGATGCCCCGGGTTAGGCACGTCTGGGCATCCGAGCAGCGCCGACCTGCGCAGCTGGCCGAAGCTGCCGAGCACGTTTCCAACGGTGCCAGCTCTGCGGTGGCCGCGGGAGGGACCTGCCCGTGAGAGCGGACGATGAAGTGCTTTGCACTGACAAAAGCGGGCACGAGCTTGCCGATTCAGTGACACGTCTTGGGGGAGAGAGACCAGGAAGAGCAAAGCAACCATGACTAAACGTGAGTGAGGACTAATAATACAGACAGTGTTTCTGCATTTTGTGTCTTTCCTCCGTACAAGG